TTCCACCACAGGATGCGTCTTTTATCTCACAATTCTGACTTTTTTTCTCACAAATCAGAGTTTATATCTTACAACTCTGAGATTATATCTCACAATTCTGACTAAACAGCTAAACAGAATTGTGAGATATAAACTCAGAATTGTGAGATATAAACGTGTATTTGAGAGGGAAAAAAAATTTGATGAATTATGAGATAAAGTTTGCAGTTACCATTCTCATTTTTTTAATCCACGGCAGAAAAAAATTAGTAAATCGCAAAATGTTAAAAACTCAGAATTGCAAGAAAAAAAGTCAGAACTGTCAGTTTATATCTCGCAATTCTGAGTTTTTTCTTAGAATTGCAAGAAAAAATGTCAGAATTGTAAGATTAAAAGTAGGGATGCACCGATACCGATACTGGTATCGGTATCGGGCCCGATACCGATACCAGTATCGGTATCGGTGCATCCCTAATTAAAAGTCTATGGAAATGGGCTTCCATAGATGTTTACAGTTTTAAAGGAGTCAAATGCAAAAGTGTAGAGGAGTAGGATGACTTTCTTTTAGCTTATTTTTTAATTTTTACAATGTTTTTGTAATGTATTAATTATCACGGGCTGTAATAAAAAACAAGTAGTCCTATACTAATACTAAGAGTAAATATGGTTCGAATAGCCTATATTTTAGTAGGCTATAAATATGTGGCTATGTTACAGCTCCCCTTTGAAGCGCTTGTGTTTTTCTTCTTTTCCATCTCTCCAATCCTATTCTGCACACAGGTGATTGGAGATGAGTTTTGTTCCCATTTTTGTTGCAGTTTGCTGATTTTTGTAAAATAGCTTCTGTTTTTGCTTTTCAGATAAAAGAGTGGTTTCAGTTTAATATGTTGCAGGCTCATTTATTGGTAATAAATAATTGATAATAAATAATATTGATGATAATAAATCATCAAAAAAAATTGGGCTTGTTTTTGAAGCAGCAGTTGCTTATTTGTCTTGCGAGAGTTAGTGCATCAGAGAAAACGAAGAAGAAGAGCTGCTGCGCTGTAGTGTCAAATTTTCGGCATGTCTAGAACAATTCTTGCAAGTACAACACGACGTAGCTGGGCACCGCGGACAGAT